CGAGTGACCGGAAGCTAAGTCTGCAGGGTGAGCGCTGGCTCAGGTCTTAACGTGGTAATTATATTCCAGGGTAGATGTTAAGGCCGGGCATGGCTGTGTGGTGGCATCTTGCAAGTTTGGAGGATTTAAACATTTGTGTCTATCGCATTGCTTCCCAAAAGGATTAAAATAACTTGGGTTTAAAATATTGGTAAATTGGATTTTTCTTTTCTGTTGATCTTCTAAACATATTTTATGTCTAAACAATATAGTACTTGTTCTGTACTTCCTAGTGTAAAGAATTTATTAAAGTCTTTTTTTTATTTTATTCAAAAGCAGACAACAGCTTTGAAGTGTGAAGCAAAAAAGAGCAATTTCTGAGCTGCAAATACTAGCTTCCAAGCAGGTAATTTGACCTCATCCTATGTTACCGCCCCTCGTATTACAGCTGAAGACTTTGGGATGAAGACCGCATCCGAACCCCGCGCAGGGGAGGCCTCCGCTTAGTGAACAGTCCTGGCTGGCTGCCCTGTGGGCCTGCTGCTCGGGATGCCACTCTGATCCGCCTTCATACTTTCCTTAGAGAGGAACCATGTCATTCGTAATTATTAAATACTGGAACAGTTTGTGTAATACCTTTTGAAATGTCTTTCTTTTCATAGAAATTCTTCAGACCATTTGAGTTTGAATTTGTCCTGTTTGGATAGCCAAATCCATTTATTCTTAAGTAATCTTGTACAACTTCTCTATTAATTACTCTTATTTTTTATTCACAAACTATATTTTGGGTTATACATACTTTTGACTAGAGTTTATTTTTTTTCATTAGTTTCTATGCATAGTGTATTATTAAATCCTGGCTATATGAAGATACTCTCTGACCAGCAGAAAAAAGCCAGTGTAAGTTCATTGAGGGAAAGTTTGCTAAGGACAGTTTAGAAATTAAATAACTAAAGGATGAGGAGTAGAAGAAATTTTTGTTAAAAATATTTTAGAAATAATCTCTTTTTTAAAAACTTAATCTGAATTCTGTGAAAATTTTAAGGCTATTTTCTAAATTTATTTAATGTGTTTTTGCTTTCTAGGAAAGCAGACAGATCTTCAGCTTCCTTATGAAAGAAGCTGACCCTCAGGAGAAAATACAGATTGACAGTGGATTTATATCTTAATAGGGCCTGGTGCACAAAATTTGTGCATGGGTAGGGCCCCTAGGCCTGGCCGGTGATCAGGGCCGATCTGTGGGGCAACTGGCGGGGCGATTGGGGGGCCCCCACTGGCATTGACGGTGGCCAGCCTGGTGTTGCCTGCTTGCCGGTCCCCACCCCCCGCTGGTTGCCTCCCTCTGGCACCCTCCTTGGCTGGCCTGGGGGCTGTGGGCTGGGAGCAGCACCTGCATTGAGTGTCATAGCGATCAGTTGTTTTCCCATTGGGTCGATTTGCATATTAGGCTTTTATTATATAGGATAATAATTCTCAGTAGTATTTTCTTTTTTTAATTGTCAGACTATAACAGAATAGGAAAAGAAAAATGGAATTCTGGGGGAAGGTCAAAAGTGAGTGTGTGCATTAGAGTTCTTAACACTAAAGTATGTAATAGGAGTTTGGTAAAATAAAAAGAATTGTAAAATGAGTTATAAAGTAAAATAATTTTCCTTTTAATATGTTAGTGAAGATGGATAAGATGAAACAAAAACATAGAATCATTGGGCTAACTCACATTAGAAGAACTTGGTTTTCTCAATAGGGGTTTGGCCACCTGACGCAGGCAAGTATATTTGAAACCTGGGCAAAAATATAAAAGGTTTAGAATTCTCACATTGGAATTTAATGAGAAGCTATTATGGATACATAGCAATATATTCATCTTACAAATTTAATTGAGTGCCTACAGGTAATACTTAATGATTGAAAAGTACTTGAGATATGGCAGTGAGCAAAACAGACCAGGTGCCTTACCTCATGGAGTAAATTTACATTTTGAAAATGCGTTTGTGTGTGTGTGTGTGTGTATGTAGTATACTGTAGTAATGGACATAGGCAGTGCCATTTTATAACTGTTCCCCACTGACAGGTGGAGAGTAGAAACGGAGAAAAACCATTAAATGAATTGACAGAATAGACAAATAGGTGAGGAAGTTAAGGATGCTAACCAGGAATTTTTGGAAGGGCTTTCCTTCACAGACTGATTCCTTGAAAAAATTACCTAATGACCATCTTTTCAAACCCTTCCCATTAATAAGCAGATTACAATTATGGAATTAACCCTCACCACCCTGTTGAAATTGCTCTTAACAAAGGTTATTAACAGTAATCTTGTTGCTAAGTCCAAGTGGACATTTCTCAGTACTTTTCTTACCTGACAAAATAACATCTAGCATTCTTATATCCCCTGTCTTTATACACTTTTCTCCATTTCTAGTTACGTTGGTTTCCCTTCAGTCTTTGTACCTTCACAGTGTTCTTTTTCTCTTTAAATATCAGTGTTCTTCAGTCTTTTACTCTTCATCTTTTCCTGAGCCTTCTGTTCCATTTTAAGTACTTTTATGAATGTGTGACTTGCAAATTTCTCTCCAGCCTAGATTTCACTTCTGAGAGATTCGTATTTGTTCGCTAGACAAATTTAATTGGGTATACCATAGGTATCTCAAACTCAACATTTTTTCTCAACTAAAACCTGTTCCTTTTCAAGTCACCTTGAATGTATCATCGCGTACCCAGTTGTTCAAGCTACAGGTTGTTCTAGGGGTCATCCTTTTATTCTTTCCTCACCGCCTCATCTCCATATCATAATATATAGTCACCAATTCCTGTTGATTCTGCCTTGGAAATCTTGTTGTATTGGCCCTCTTCTCTACATACCTACTGTTTTGATTATTGGAAGTCTTTCTATATAAATAATAGTTTATATTAGTGTGTCTACAGAATAAAATTTAGGAGGCAGAGATCCTATATTTTTAATGGTGACTCTGAGATGATTAGAAAGGTTGGCATGAAGAAGAGAGAAATAACGCCTTTATTTTGCACTTTTAATGGGGTAGATTTTTATAATGTTAAGAGAATTGGTCCATTTGCCATTATTTTTTATTTAATATTGAACGATCAATTTTTAAAAAATATATTTTTATTGATTTCAGAGAGGAAGGGAGAGGGAGAGAGAGATAGAAACATCAATGATGAGAGAGA